CTCCAAGCTGGTGATATACGCGATTGCCCTCAGCTTCGCCCATAGCATCGCGATTTTTTTGCGCGGAACTTGTTCCCGGCCTTCCGTGTGCGATTTAGGTTCCACTTTGACGCGAACTGTCAGTGGTGCAGACTCCGAAACCCCCGTTGACAGCTGCTGCTGCTGCTGCTGCTGCTGCTGCTGCCGTTGTTCTTCGCCGTCTGACGTCCGCGCATCGGCGTTGACCAGAGGTGGTTGCTCTGCATCCTCGTCACTGCTCTCTCCATTCTCGTCTACCTGTCGGCAGCAATCAAATATCCACCACGCACTTGAGAGCATACAGGTAGATATTTACACTACTTTCTTGCGGACACGGCTCCTCCAGCGGAGTTTATTGTAGACAGGGATGGAGGTGGGTTCCGAGAACAAACACACCGTTCGTTGTTCATGCCAGCACCACAGGTCAGTTAGGCCGCGTTCTTCAAGTCTTCTCCCTAAAACCGCCGCGCGATTTCCTACCGCAAGTTCTTGTTATTGTCTTCAAATTAAACTAGTGTCAGTTGCTAACCCCAAAATCTAGCAAAATGGGGATGTACAAGTTGCTGGTATCGAGTCACTCAAGAAGTTGCAGCGGACAAACCAGTTCATCGACGTCCCAGGAGTAGTCCGAGTCAAAGGAAGATTCTGAAGCGATCGTTACGCTGTCCATGCTTCCTGCCGGCACCCACAAAGGTAACACCCCAGAAGTCCACCGTCGGACTGCTGTGTGTATGTAGCACGGAGTACTTTACGAGATATCGTTTCGAGATCCGCACTACATCAGTCAACTGCTGTACGTCCAACATGCAAGTAAAGGGCGGCTGGACCATGGACGCATGACAGTCCGGGATCTACGGAGATCAATGCAGCAGTTTCAGCCACAACACCGAACTCAACTTCGGACGCTGGCTCTATGTACCATATATTCATACTCAATCAGAAGTATACAGAGAAAGCAACCTTCCCGCCGTTTCTAACCGCACCTTTGTACTGTTATCAGTAGAGGACGCCATGAAGACGTGCTGTCGTGTATGCTGGCACGTTCAGGTTTGCTTCGTCGGCAAAGTCTTGGGTGGTGATATCGACAATTCGTGGGCGTGATGAAGCTGTAGTACAGTGTACGTATGTACATAATGGCCTTTATCTGTACATATATGTATTGTGATAGCAACTCGACGAGTATCGTCGCGTTGCCTGTCTGAATCTTTCCAGTTTTTTAGCCGTTAATAAAGTCGAGGGCGCACACCGCGACACGCTCGCCCACCGAGCACGACAAAGAGTTCTATACACAGAGTAGATGACATAAGATATCACACCCCCTTAACAATTTTTAATTTTCAAAGCTCGATTACTCCACAACAGAAATCGTGGCCGGGCGACGTTGGCACCGACCGATAGCTTTCCGAAACAAACCTACCTATCGTTTGACATGCTCGTCGTCGTGGACTAACATTATTAGCTGTGAATATTGATGATGCGATATATTATGTCACCTACTACTGCCGGTACAAGCCATGCATAGAACAACGAGCACCCTCCATACTCCGTAGGTAAAAGTTACTGTATGTAGTAGTTGAATTGAAACGAAACCTCTCATTACCCATCCATGAAGAAGTTGTTTTATACACAAATAGTTAAAAAACAGTGCTGCAAAAACTATCCATGGACGAACCCAGCAGTGCCGTTGTTGTTGTCTTCACAATTAATCACAAAAAACCGTTCGTTCTGTTCTCTCTACCCAGTACCTAATTGTACCTTCTTCGTCTGTTCGTACCATAATGTATGATAGTCTGACACTTGACGCGGTCGATTCCCGCCGTGTGGTCACAGGCTAACTTACCCAAAAAAGTTATACGAAAATAAAATGGACCCGAAAAGGGCCCGCAAGTCAACGACAGATTAGTCACCCTCCGCTCGCTTCAATACGCTATGCGAGGTAGTAACTATAGCCTGGACAAAAAAGTTATAAACCACTCAAAACAATAAAAAAGGGCAGGGTGTGTTGGCGCGCTCAAATCTACGTCTGTGGTGTTCGTATATCGAGGATCATACGGTATAGGAGTACACGTACAATCTCCGCAATTCTCCGCAAATTTCAGCAGCAGCAGCAGTAGATCGACACCCAGCGTCGCTACTGATCCCAACCTCCTGTGAGTATTTTCTGGTGCTCTTGCGGTTTCCTCCCAAAATCGGTCGACATGAACACACAGAACGCGCCACTTAAAGGACCGTTTACTTTGCGCGAGGCTTGACGCTTATTGTTTGTCCCCGAACTGAGTCCATGTCTTATTTTCCCAGCTGATTTTTCCAAGTTCTATCTAAATAGAGCAGGCGCCAATGTACTGTAGCAAATCTAAGGTTGGCCACAAGAACAGACAGGTGCTCAGTTCCAACAATACCGCCTTGGTCGTATACCAATATGCATACATACACATAGAATGAATGGAGACAAAATACACGGCAGCAGCAGATAGGCACTTACAATGGTAGGGACCCGACAGCAAGTTAGTTTCAGTTTCGGGGCGGGAGGGGGGGGCACCTCTCGTGACATACTTAAGAGTCGAGATGGCACCGGGTGGGATCGATTTTTTTACGTTTTTCTTTGTATTCTTGTTATCACCCCGGTGTGATCTCTCCGACCCCCTGCGGACATGAAAATATATCATCAGGCGTACCGTACTACATTAGAACGTAGGCTGGCATAAGCAGTTTCCATGCAACGAGTGGTCATGGGTTTGAAATCGAGTTTTGATATTGCGTGAAACAAGGACAACAAACGATGTGGTTTCCATCTGGGGTATCGGTACATTCGGTATCAGGTTGTTGTGGCTTTCTTTGCCGTCTTCCTCTACGAAATTACTGTAGATTTACTTGCCTCAGGTGGGGGTGGGTCACGGCTTGTACGTTGTGTACTTGGGTGGTGCACAGTTTGCAACTACCATGCCGACTAAATGAAAACAACAGGAAATCCCGCTTTGAACTGAGGGAAAGGGGGGGGACGTCGCCCGATTTCACGCTATTGTAAGCATACTGTAGACTATGCGTACTCTTCTTGTTGTCACGATGAAATCCAACCAGGAACACCTGTCCGTGTCCTCTGTATTTGGCAATCGGCGTACAAAAAGAACGCCGTTTGTCCTACAGGATTTTGTTGGGCTCAAGTTCTTAACTGCAAAGTTTGAAGTGGTGGCGCGTTCTGCAGGGCTTCAGAATTAATCACATGTTGCTGATACCCGCGGAACAGTAGTCTTCACCCAACCTTATTTCCTGTGCTTTAGGGGGACCAGGGCCAACTACTTTCTGATCGACATGGTGGCTGTATCTCAAACGAACAGAGTAGGCTACACCAAGCCACCAAATTCGATACGCAGAGAAATAGTGAAGTTCTGGCGGCTGACAACATACTGTAGCACCGCTCCTCTTGCTATATTTTCTGTGGGGTGGGCGCCCATCGCCGAACGCCTACATGTAGACTGCATGCAATAATTACGGAGCATCATCAACGGATGTATCCAGTAGTCTGCACGTACATGCAGCAGTTCTTGCCACGCATCCAGTCCCCCCCCCCCCCCTTCCACCTCTGTCTCCGATTGCTGGGCGCTGTTCGAACAGGTAGCACGGCGAGCGCCATCAGACAGCGTTTGTTGTTCCCTGAGCTTAATTTCTTCACTGTACTCATCCTCCATGCGAACCTTGTGGAAGAGAGTATTCGTATGCTGTCGGTGGCTGATTGTTGCTGCTCTTACCCGTCAGTAGTGCGTAGACACTCGAGCTGACTTGCTTGATCGACGGGTACTTGAAAATTGTGATCGATTGGCGATAGCGATGGGATGCTTTGTTGTTCGCTTGTTTTCCCGACACATGACTGCAAGTCATCGAAACAAAATGTCTTCGCGTGCGTTCAAGTGCTTTTGCTGAGTTTTTCCCGCGCTGAAGGCTAAACACCAGCGATACTCGGGCAAGCGACGCCTGTAGTGTACTCAGCAAACAGGTTTGCAAAGTTTGGCCGACAGCTACGTAAAACGATACAAGAAACACACGCACGCGCAGCTGGCCGGCGGATCACGCGCAATAATGTATCGCTCTCGTGTTGTAGCCAAGGTTCGATCACGACGACAAAGCAAGAACCTCTTTGGCAGTTCTTGAAGAAATGCCGGGCGTCAGATGGAAAGAACAAATTTAGGGATGTCGCGATGGGCGCGAAATTCCCGAGGGGGTACAAAATATCAGGTCATCATTGCCTACAGCAGAAAATCGTGCGCGTTCGCTTTTTGTGTGCGTCGGAACTTCCACACGTGAACACACACCTCAGCGCGGCCTTGCCGCGGACAGTGCACCAAACAGTATCGGTGTTGCCGAAACAAATTCCAAACGCAGACCCAATCTCCTTCGTGATGCATCTCAGCAAAAACAGCAAGGACGCACGAGTTTGAAATAGACGGCTTTGGAACGCACAGCAGCCCGAGGAAAAGCAGAAAAGAAGAAAACTTACGCATAACGACCGTTCTTCGGTTGCACGTGTCGGCCACAAACCGAATTATTAAACTACAAAGACGACAATACACCATGGACAGGCTCACTTCCAATCATCCCAGCAAGCAGTAGTACTGCGGCGTACGAAGCTCAGCCTCGGCCTCCCGCCACCGCTTAGAACAGCATCCACCGCCCGGAAAACGGCCAGTAGAGGGGCCCAAGGCGCTTCGTCCCTCGTTTCGTCGGAGGTGAGACCACATCTCCGCTCCTGCCCAGCGGGCACTGGCCGTTTCGGAACCGCCTCTCGCAAGGACTCCGTATTAATGCCGTGCCATTCGCTACGGCCAGTCTTGAATCTGCCTTGGGCGTCTTCTATCCCCACCTGCTGTTGTTGCTGTACTTCCGTCGCAGGTAAAACAGGTGGCTTTTCAGCAGATCGTTGACAGCGGCATGCATGCGATAGCTCGCGCGCCAGGGCGGGGACAACAAGGCGGGAAATGTCCGTTTCCGCAGCAAGAACGGAGGTGGTCCGCAGTTGTCGCGCGAAGAGCTCTGCTGTGTGTCCTAGCGCGGAGTCGCTGGGATGGGAAAATTGCGGTGGGGCGTAGAGGCGGGGCGGGGGGGCGGAGAGAAGGGCATACCGGGTGAAGTTTCAGACAAGCGTGTGTGAGGGTGTGCGTTATCATCCTATCAAGTGTGGATGTTTCCTCCCGGTGGTGTGTGGACCACCCGAAACGTCCGCCGACAAGTTGGTATAACATTTTTTCCCGATGAGGGCAACGAAGAAAACACAACACTCTCCCGTCTACCCTAATTTAACCCCGCGTTATTTTTACTATACCTGCAATGCGCGACAGCATGAGGCCAACGCACAGATGCGCTAGAATCGAAAAGTGCACATCAATATTGTACCAACCTAGGGTTAATTTTTTGTCACAAAACATAGCCGGAATGAAAAACAGCGACTACCAGCAGATTCAGACAACACGTGGAAAACAAAAGAACAGAAGAAAACGGAGAAGAAATCGAGCACCAATAGGGACAGAAGTCCCTGAACACGCTACATCCATGCCATTCAATTTGGGTTTGTCTATCTCGGGCTCAGCGAAAGCTAAGAGAGACAGTGTGCGTGACGCATGTAAACATTTGTTGACCTTCACCCTGTCAGTATAATAGTAGATCCCTCCATTTCGATCCAATTTCCCCTTAGGTGGGGACAGCTGCGCGGCATGCGTCTGACCCCGTCTGCGTCTGGGGAAACCAAACAGGAATAGCACACGCCTACACCGACACCTGTTACTACCACCAAACACACCCAAGGTAAATTATGTATGCCGGCCGAAGTGCCATCCGCCAAACTCTCACCTATCATGGGGCCAGCAAGAAGGCGCGCGACACTGCAGCTCTTCAACCAGAGCGAAACACGCAGTATTACGCAAGGCTTGGACCCCGTTGGCATGTTGCCAATCTTTCCGCCCAGCACAGTCACCAAACGGTCCCGGAAAGGTGCAGAGAGGATTCTCCCCCGTCAGCACAAGCGATGGGTTCTCAACGAGAGTTTTGGCTTCCTGGGAGGGGCGAAACAACGGGAAATGGGAGGTGGACTTAGCACCTGCAACGCGATACAAAACGATTCAATATTCAGAATAGGAAAGGGTATCGTGGCTATCGGGGAAAAACAAAAATCCACACGACAAACGATTTCACGTCAGAGGAAGCTACGAACTAACGCCGTTGCACCCTACCAACTTGCGTCGTGTTTTAAGTGTTATCATGCATGCATGTCAATGTGAACCGGGTGCCAGCATGTGTCGACAACGAATGAACAGCGGCCGTGGTGAAGAAGAAGCACACCAGTCCAGCACACGTGAACCTTACCTCGGACAGTGTTGACAAGCCGGCATCGCCGCAAGAGTCATGCGTCATCGCATCCAAAGTCTCCCGTATCAAGCCGGTAACGTGCCCAGCCTTGGTATATTCAACGCGCCGTTCGAAATCATAGAGCGCCGGAGGATCGCAGGGAGGGTTAGCGAGGCTGTAGACGGATCACCCACGGCTCTGAAACATTTTTGGGGATCACAGGACACACAACGCTGTACCCTTCAAGCGTTTCGCGATATCGTCCGAGACTTCCGCAGAACTTGCTCACGCACCTCAAACCTCAAACAACACTCAGTAGGGCGGTATTTTTTTCATGCTGCACACCACCAAGGAGAACACGACAGACCGTATGCAGCTGTTTCTCGCCTAAATCTCGAATGGTCATCGTTTCCCTAGACTGTGTGTTGTATGCCGCAAAGGCTCCTTCCCCCCTGCCCCAAACAAGCATCTAAAGCGGACCAAAAAGATGACAAATCGATTGTGAACGCTGAGGGCGGTGCCTTGCTTCTCTCCTAAATTATGAAATTTTGGGCGAGCACACAAAATCCAACTAAACGAATTATTACCTTGTTCCGGCAGTACCAGTCTTCGAACTCGTGCAACAATCGACTCATGCCTCCCTCGTCGCTGCGCTCCTCACGTTCCCGAGTATTCCTCCCTCTCCAAGTCTCCAAGCCCGTGTACCTGTCTCGCCTCCGCTCCTCTTGGGCGAACACTTCCCTCTTCCCGTTGGCTTCATCCAGCAGCATCAAAAGTGACCGTTGCAGCAGTTGTATTTCTCTCAACCTTCCGACCTCGCATTGCCCTTGTGCTTCCCCAGCGCCCACCGCACAGCCTTCGCTGCGCTCTGGACAATGTAGATCGGTACACCCAGCGTTATCGCCGCCAAGCAGGTCTTGGCCGTGACAGATGTCTTGCCGAGGTGTTGCATCATAACCAGGTGCTTGTCTGCCCCGAAGCATCTCTCGCCAACGGAAAAAAGCTGGGTCTGGCAGAGGGCTACCTCGTGCTTGAGGGTAACCATTGCCGCAGGAACCGACGGAGCCTGGTGCATCGAGATCGCGCAGAAGTGATTCCTCAGCGGCCTCGAACTCTCCACGCGAGCTGTGTCCCATGCTGCCGACGTCACCGCCGCTGCTGCCGCTGCTTCCGTCGTCTCGTCCCAAAAACCTTGCTCTTGCTGCTTCATAGCAAACTATCTCCTCCCACATCCCACTCTCAATATTTGCGGCAATTTCTGCCGCAACCTCGTTAACAGCAGCCTCAGATGTTACCAAGGCCTGAGCCTCCTCTGCAGGATGATCCGAACACTCCGTTTGTGCGGCGGAACGTTGGGAACTAGTGAAATGGGATCGGTTAGCCCCAGAACGGCTAGAGCTCGATTCATTTCCACTTCGGCTAGAAGCGTTCTCCCGTCGTTCGTTGTCACGGTTGGCCACCAGAGGTGAAGTGGCCTTCCTGACAGTTCCAGTGCCTGCCTGACATGAAGGTCGCCCGGGAACAGAGTTGGCTCTCTTGGTTCTTGCGTCCAGAGCTACCCCTACCCTACCACCACTGCTCAATGGAGCGGTTGACCGCGCCTTCCCTGTCACCGGTCTTGCCGCCTTGAGGCACCCGCCACGTACGCTGCTGATACCGCTGCTACGGATTTCCGCTCGCTTGGCACCAGTCGCGTCGATGAGCCCAGCAGACACCTTCTGCGAGACGTCACCGGTCCGAATGCTGCGAGCCTGCTCCAGGATTTCCTCCAGAGACTTTGTAATGCGCGACGATCCTTGCGAAACAGCCGAGTCGTTTGTCGACACCTGACGTCCATCCCTCGGAGATCGCGAGGTCTCCGAAATTGCGGCTTGCGTTGTCGCCGCGTCAAGTGCGGTGCATGTTTCCGACGAGGCGCGCCGGCACCTCGCTTGTCCACCAGAGGTGGCTGAAGCCACACCGCAACCTGCCGCCTTCGAGCCTCGTCGACAGTCGAAGCGGCTCTGCCCAGCTTTTCGCCGCCGATCGGGTTCAGTCAATGGTTGCTGCTGTGGGGGCGGCGGTTGATGTTCTGCATCCTGCTGTCGGGAGTCCTGCTGGATTAGGTTGAGTCGGCAACAGCAACGTTGCATTGTGAGTAAAAGAGAGTCGTTACCCAACCACCAATGTTGTATAATCGCTGTGACACCCGGCACCCGGGAGGTCTAGCAGTTGACCTCACCTACAATAGTGGCATGTTGCGAGTGGATCTCTCCGTGGGGTGAAACATTCCGATAAATGTCGCGAATACGCACACTTCGAAGTAGTAAATAGTCGACGAGGGAAACGAACGGCTTAACGCTTCTCGTGATAAGAAATAGGGGATTTACCACAGGAGGAAAGGTGGCGTATTCAAGCAAACACTACAAAACAATTCTTCATGATACCGTAAGGATGCGAGAGAACGGTCGGGGGTGCGATCGATTCTTCAATGATTTCGTTCTGCACTTTTTGTCGCACGGGGGTGCGATATTACCTGTACATGCGATATCACCGATCCCCGTGCGATATTCACATGAAATCATTCGACCCTGAATGGTTATCGCACGGGGGGTGCGATAACCCCGATACGCCCGGTGTTGAGCAAACAATAGCCCCTTCAGCAGTAGCACTGGGTGGTAGTACAGCGCACAAACCTGTGCACAAACTCCGACACGTGCGATACCCAAAATATCACGGCCATACTGCTGAACACACAGTGTTTCAATGCGTGGCACTACAGCACCGTTCACCATGAAATCGTGAGGTACCTCTGGCGCAGTGAGTGTCCCGGAACCACTCGAAGCACTCGGTGTCGGTGACATCGTACCTCCGTGCGATGTCACCGGTCCCCGTTCGATAAGCTAATTAATCATTTTTGGGCCAGGCGTACTCACTGATCATTGATTGAAAAATTACAAATACTGGTGTGGTGACCAGCTGTGGAGTAGCCGTCCTCTGTAACCCTCCACGACGGGTGTTGAGAAGTTCATACGTGTGCTATTATTGTTTGCATCGACCGCGCTAACCGGATGACCACTGAAAACGGGTCAGTGCCAACGGAAAACTCTGTAGGTATCGGGAAGCGGGCCAAAATTCGAAAAATGTGCATGCGCTAAATGTGAATGCCAAAATTGATCTCGGTACGAAGTATTTCACAGACACACATCACAGCACCACGCATACTTTCGCCCGAACCTATGTAGTGTCTGATCCAAAGAGCGGAGGGATGCAAAAGGGGTATTTCAAGCCAAGCCGATCATATCGTTGTGTGTTGCTTCAATCTTTGGACAATCGTACCTTCCCAAGATCCAGCACTCATCGTGTCAGCAGCTACACTACAGCAGTGTAGACGAGTCAAACAAAATAGCAGAAGACAACATACACAGAATGGCTCCAAACACACCCTCGCCCGAACCTAGGAAGCCGCTAATATAGGTAGGTGTGTGATGCTATGCCGGTGTGCTTGTGTGAATGTGGGGGGAAAACAGGAGAGTCAGCAGGGCCCACATGAGGGGGGGGCAAAAACGTACAGAAAATGTACTACTATACCAGCTACGAGCTATGGGGCTTCGAGCCCTCTGACTGACCACATTCATTGATCATTAGAAAATACTGCAAATAGAGAAGTTGAGGCAGCTAGACGGCTGATCATTGCAACGCCTACAAGGCTACCTGCCTGCCCTACCGGCCGCAGCGTGACCACTCGTCAACCCCTCCTGACTCTATGGCCACCACCCTGTCGCGGGCTGCCCGCATGGCCTACAGGTGGAGGTAGTTGTTTCGTCTAGAGAAGCACGCTTTGTCTCTTTCTGCACTTTTGTCTCTATGTTATCTGCGGTGGAAAAATAAAGTTGACGTCGAAACGGAACCTAGGCCCGAAGGGGATACATCAGTCGTTATTGGTATTTAAGCCTTTTGGATCTTCAGGCGCTGATGGATCATTGATAGACCATTCGCATATGCTGGTGTGTTGGCATGCCATGGAGTTGCCGCCCTGTATCCATTCACGCTAGGTGTTGGCAAGTCCATATCTAGGTGTGTCTTTATTGTTAGCACCGACCGAGCTCACCGGTGACCAATGAACAGACGTCAGTGCCAGCGGGAAAAATCAAGGGTACCGAAATTCGGAAATAACGCACATTGCGCTACATTCGAATGCCACAGCAGCGAATCTCGGTAAAAAAAATCCTTTCACAGAGACACACATCGTAGCTCCACATGCATGCCCTCGCCCAAATCTATGCGGCCACTGCAAGAGCGGATGTCAGCAAAAGGGGCATTTCAAGCCCAGCCAAGCCAACATGTCCTCGTACGATGCATCTCCAACTTTGGTAATTGTACACTCCGAAGATCCTACACAGCAGCAGTATAGACGAGTCCAACACAATCGCAACACGCATGTACACTACCATCATAGCTACATACCCCGCCCGAACTATGAGGCCGTTCATGAGAGAAGATAGGTGTGTGCTGTTGTGCTTGTGCGAAAAACACAGGAGCTGTAGTGACCCGGCAGGGCTCACAATAGTGGGGCGGCAAAAAAGTACAGAATACAGATACCGGCTATTGGTCTACAAGTCCTCTAATAGATCATTCTCATAGATCATTTTATGATACTGAAAATACAGTAGTGTAGGCAGCTTGGCGACTGATCATTTCAACGCCTACAAGGCTGCGACCACCCATCAACCTTTCTATGACCCTGCCCGTGGCCACCACCCTGCCGCGGGCTGCCCTCATGGCCTATGTAGGAGGAGATAGCTGTTGCATGTACACATTTGCTACATTTCTCTCTCCCTCTGTACTGTCTCTCGTCGTTTGTTTCATTGGCCGAAAAACTGAAAAAAAATACTAGACCCGAAGGTTAATCGCACTGGGGTCCGACATCACCGGTATGTGCGATATCACCGAACCGTGCATTCTCTCGCACCCGTACGTGTGGCCTTCCTGCCGTGTGACCCCGGCTGATATCAATTACACCAAACGTGTGTACAGATGAGACAAACACATGTGCAGTGTGGATCCGAGCAGGCCGTAGCCAGCCGCACAGTGGCAGCAGTGGGCTGTTGTTGAGACGATGCTTGGTGCACATGACGAACGTTCGGGGACGACGTGCTAGGCGCGCGTTCGTGTGTGCATGAAATGAAAAACAATGAAACATCACCTAAAAGCGAACCCGAGTCCTGCCACCATCAACACATGTTGCTGTACCCCTCGTGTGTACAGCAGTCTCCGGCACGCGATGCATGCTGACCTGCCTAACAACTCGGTTCAGATGTCTTCTCGGAATACAGGTAAGTATTTTTAACTCAATCTGAACTTCAGGATTGCTCGCAGAACAGCTGGGCGTTTCGCGGAACTGTCAACTCAAGACGATTTTGGGCTCTCGCCCGCACGAGGACCCCGACCGACTCTCGTTCTTCGCGGCGCCGACGGGGACGACTCTCTCCGTCACGACTGACTCCGCTGCCGCGGGCTCAGACCCCAAGCGGGAGCCGAGTTATAACTAACACAGCCATGTATAGCACAGCATTGTGAAGCGCGCTGCAATCACACGTTCATACTTGCATGTACTCCCTGCCAAGACTCGCGACGCTGAATGGGCGAAATATTGCTGTGTTCCGACTCCGACCTGTACCTCTCTGTGTATCTTCATTCTGTCGGTGATTTTTCACGTAGAAAGCTTGTTGTGTCCACGCATGAACACACTGCTGTGTTATGCGTCTTCCATTCACACCCATCCTCACATCCCCGACGCACACAGCAACTGATCGACGCACCTAGGCCGTGGTGTAGCGGACTATAAAATCACCACCCGCAAAATGCGGGCAAACTCCTACTCTGTGTCAAAATAGTGAAATGACGCACAATTTGACGGGACAAAAAATATTGCCCAACGCTTTTACTCATGTAACATATCTAGCAGTGGCTTACACTTGGCATACTCCACGCCTACGTCCACAGTCCACACTATTTGTAACCCTCACCCTTGAGAAAAGAGGCGCGGACGGCTACATTCTCAAAGGAGGACGGGGGGGGGGCAAGCCCCCCGCGGGGACGTTGTAAAAACTATTCTTGCGCCTCTGCAACGCGTTTAAGGCACTGTCTATCTCACCTGCTGCAGGGAATCGAGGCGCGCCTCCGAGAGCCGTTCCAAAGCTACCTCGTATTGTGAGCAGCATGCGCGGAGAAAAATCGCCCGCCTTTCAGTCTCAGCCGTCAACAACCGGATGGCTCTGCGGTACATGACGGAGGCAAGAGAGGGAATCAAGGGGACAGTTCTACACGGGGAGGCAAGATGCGCTGTTCGGGAACCCTGGAACAACACCAGCCTTTGTGTGGCCGTGTAACCGGCGCAATCCCGTTTATGCAATGGAGTGGTAGTGCGAGGTGCAACTTTCAGGGGTGACACGATGCGCGGCGTGTTTCTTTTCGGCGATGCGGTGCGGTGCGGTGCGGTGCGGTGCGGTGCGGTTCAACCGCCCCCGTAGATGCGGTTATTATCACGGTGCGGTTTGTCTTACTCAGTCGCCAAGACCGCAGTCAAGATAAGTCACCGTTTTTCCATCCAGACACAACACCAAGAACGGCAAAAGCTATGCATGCCATCATTCCAACCTGCTCGTGCGGGAGGGCAAGTGGTTTGCCGAGGTTGACTCTGACTGAATGTCGCAGGGACGGTTATGAACATGAGCCTTATTATTGCTGGCAACTTTCCAACAGCGGTAGAGGCAAGTGAGGAATGTAGTGTAGCTGCATGTGTTGAGCGTGTTGTTGATGCGTGTTGTTGATGAACTTCTGGTGACATAAATAACAGCTCATTCGTCTGGGGTTTTCTGTCCGCCAGGCCGCGGAGTGTACCACTGGCGCCCTCCATGCACAGCACCATTTCCCCACAATTATATATTGCGATGGACCACAGGAGGACAGAAACCTACGCACGAACTTGTAGGTGCTCCGGCCTTGTCACGGGTGCTGCCGTAACTGTAATATTTCGGCGGTTTTCTTCGGCGTGGCACCGCAACCAAGGCCGCGATTCCACCTGTTTTATACATGTATCGGTGTAGAAGAACAACGTTAACAAAACGTACGGCGGGTGCACCGTGGACCGCACCGCACCGTCTACTTTCGAACAGAAAAAATATGCACCGCCATGCACCGCGACCATGTCGAAAAACAAAACCGCACCTTTGTGCGCTTGTTATTATTTCATCAGTATGACCCAACGAATCCCTCTCTATCGAAGAAAACAGCCGAAGATAGATTAGCAATAAATCCAAGAGTCTGTGAAAGTTCTGTTCTTCCACGATTTCCCGAGCAGCACACAGTAGTAGTGATATCTCCCCCGTGGGTAACAGGGTCAACAAGACAGTTTGGTAGCCGTCTTGTTGTTTGTTGTTTCTCTCACATCAGCTCTATAGTCCACAAAAATGGGGAGCCCATGGTCGCAAAACCCGGCACATACGACGCCGCGGGGAAACAAAACTAGAATAGAGTACAAACCACTCGGAAAAAGAAAACAAAACGATAGAAAGAAAATAACAGCTATATGGGCACCCTTATGGGATGGTGTGTATTTTATAGCCGGGCGTGTCAGGTCTTTGTGTGTGTGTGCAACAAAGTGCTCTTTCCGCAAGTACTGCTGTATGCATATGAAGTCTAATGTACCCCGCGCGAACATCTCCGCAACAATTTCAACTTCGATTTGACAGTCCAGTGATACATTGTACGGAAACAAAGCAAGGAAGGCCAATACAGCCTGAGGAAATATAGCGGCAAGTGTCTCTTGTGTCGAGTTATCCTGCCTAAGAAAGGCCTCGAGCATGCCGCCCCGCAACAACAGCAGCAGCCTCTGTGCTTGACGAACAACAGCTGCCCGCCGTACATTACAGAGTTGTACAGCCCGCAGCAGTTCTATAGTCTAAATAGCCGCCGGTTGACACCAACTAGATGCTACCCTACGCACCTTGATGCGAGGGAGCATGAACTCAGCAGATCATCCAGCGAGTCGGACATGCACAGGACCAGGCAAGAGGGATAAGATAAGAAGGATAGGCACGCGAGGCGAGACCTCTCCGCTCAATGTGGTATGTATCGCGGTGAGCGATGAGCGGCGCAATTATGTTTCAATGATGATATTGCGGAGCTCCCTGTATCGTAGGAATACATGATGCAAGATACCACACCCCTTGAACCGGTTTTCAAAGCTCGATTTCTCCACGACGAAGAAGACGCGAAAACCAAGCGATACTCTCTCGAAAAGCTCTCCGCGGGACGGTTCCAGCGACGCCATTGTCGGCACCGTCCCTGTTTTTGCAGCAAAGTACTCTATCTTTGATAATCGACCAGGTGTTGTTTTATCTTCTGCAACCTGATGGATTTCCGTTGGTGGATTGGCGGGAATTGCGGGGGGAAATGGGGGATCAATAGCAACGACCGTGTGCAATGTGCTCTGTGGGGCTATTGTGTTGATATTGGTAGGTCTGTGTGTTGAGACTCAGAAAGTGGCACCCCGCAAAAACTTTATTGGTATGCTACATATGTATACCAGTATGCATACGAACAACTAAAATTGCAGGTGACGCAAGCTTGGCTGGCGCCCGTAGGTGACTCAAGATACCACACACCCTGGACCGATTTGAAAGGCGATTCCTCCACAGCAGTATTGGAAAGAATGGCGGTGACGACAATGGCAATCTATGTTTGAACCGCCCCTAACCCTAACCCGAAGCCCAAGCGAATGCGAAATTTGCTTCGTGTGCACACAACATTCGTCCACGGTAGGCGAGGGAAAGGATCGGCAATAATGTATGTACAGTAGTTCAAGGCAAGAACCGCTCTACCTGTTTTGATATGAACGCAAATCACGAGGGAACACCGCCGCAACAACAGCTCATTCGTGTCATAACATTCGACCTAGAGGGGACACCACCCGGGCATGCACCACACCACCCACGACCACTGAATTTTCCACCACTCCACATCAGCCTCGACACGTACTTACAGTTTCAAACACCAATTGAAGAGAACATCCACCGGGTGATGACAGCCCTGTGCTGACCGAGAAAGAACCGAACAAAATAAGGTAGACAGTGCCCACTGCTATGGTCCTCCAGCAAACGCTATTCGCATGTACGGCACTTCGTCATCAACTGGTCTACACTATGCACCCGTTGGCCACCAGAGGTACCGACAAATTCCACTCGTCACAAGGTATAACCCAAACAAAAACGGAGGTTGTCCGTGAGTGCACACGTAGATCAATAACAACCAAACAGCAACAGTACGTCCATGGTTCCGAAACAGCGTGGCTGAAGCACGCGATCGATGACTTTCCAACTCTTAACCCAACCTACTTCTCATATCTATCTTGCCCTTCGAATGAAGTTCATCGCTGGCTCCACCCAGGCAGGGAACAGAAAAAGAGGATACATATCCTGTCTTTCAGTCCGAACAGCGGCACGGCACTTGAGGCATCTTATAGCCGAAACATAATCAGAAGACCATACAAATATCAACCCGAGTCTTGCATACAACAATCGACATCCATCTTCATAGTAACGACATAATTTACGAACACAGGGATCCGGACAATAATTCTACAACCAAGACTGTTCACGTTTCACAAAGGTTTTGCTTAAAAAAAAAAAACGTCAACAAGCACCGAACTCGCGCAAGCAGACGTCCATTTTTTCGTCCGTCTTACAAAAGTGGTAAAATGACATCTTCTTTTGCGGCACCGGGTGGGTGAAGCACTTGCAGTAGAAGCTTCCACCGATGTCAAGCATCACCTGAATGAGAAGAAGCGGGAGAGGAAGGGAAATAAAAAATGTTAACAGCACGAAACAAGAGAACAACAAACCGACACATCGGTGAACAGTATCAACAATCTGGAGCAAAACTCGAAGAACGGCAGGCGTGCCTCCCGAAGGGCCGGAAGAAAAATACGATGAAAGCACAATAAACGGGCGACCAGCGAAACGAGTGCAGTGGGGACAATAATCAACAGCGAGGATTGATGTAGACCAGGCCGTGTAGAGACAGTTGGGGGAGGTGCGTGTCCACATCGTGCAGACAAGAGTCAAAGAGAGGTCTAAGGGAATGAGGAAGAGATGCTAATATGTAGCCCTTTGCTTAGGTTCTCACGTGCAGCAGGAATGACGAGGGAAAGCTTCAAGCACTTCTTTCCGAAATACAAAGATAGCCCTGACAACCATGCTTTTTCACGAATAGCAATAAAGGAAACAACTGAACGTGGGCATTCCTTATCCTTGGCCACGATGGGCTGCCCCATGGGGCCCTCCTGTTCAAAACGCCGCTACGGATGCACGGCTGGGAGGCCATAATAGAGGGTAATAGCTCTGTCCCGATGTGGCAGTAACCAGGACAGCGGCGCCGTGGTTTCGTCTCACACGCACACTCGTAACTGATGGGGGGTGCACTATTGGGGTGAGCTCTACTACCACTTTTGGCAGAAAACGTATACCTGGTAGTCCTGTTTCGGTTGTGGTGTTCCTACTGCGAAATAGGACGCGACCAATACGGTTAGGTAGAGTGTGTCTGCCTCTCTGCCCGAAAGTGTAACATGAGGTGAGGTGACACCCCTACCGTAGCACCACTCACGTGCAGAACACGCGGTTTCCCCGACGCACGCACTAAATAGATAGGTGCCATGCTCACAAAACCAAGGGCAGGTCCTCGTGCTGCATACGAAAGCAACTCGCCGTTGAGTCTGTGTCCTGCCGCCGATGACTCGAGGCGCCCTCCCCCCTCTGCAGGTGCCAAAAAACTTGTAAGCAATCTTAAGCTATATAACTCGATTGTGGTATCATCATGTGCCTGATATTCACCCACGAAGTTGAATCCGATGATAGTTCCGGCGTGTGATCAAGACTAACACCACGAGGGGGTGCAGCGCCGTGTCGTTTGGCGAGCGGTGTTGCATGTACCGCGTGGGCAACGGTCGTATCTACTGCAGAACACACAACACTTCTTCGAGCAGCGCCATGTTCAGATGCGAAACTACCGAAGCGGATGAGATTACCGGTACTTCTTCGCGTTCATCAGGATGGGTATTGATGGCGTATGACTTACGGAAGATGTGAACAAATACAGCGATCGAACGCAGTCCAGCCCCAAGACCATACAGACCATACAGACCGTACACGCCATACAGACCACACACTGTAAACACACCGGTGGCAAACACTATCGTGCTTTCTAAATCGCGGCTTCGATTTCTTGGAGCGCGTTGCTCACAGCTTGAAGATGGCGAGGAATGGCCAAAGGGGGGGGTTCCAGCGAACAACACGTTGTTATCGCACGAGTCAATACCCCGAAACAGTGCACATATGGCCCGCTGCGATGTAATCAAATGCCTGCAACAGTAATAATCATTCGCTTCGTGAACACGTAATGGCCCATGAGATCTGGTAATTTGATCAAGAATCACTGATACGCTGGCTAGTGGGCGGTAATAGACAGGGGTGACTACTGTAGACACGTTGTCTTCGCTCTTGTTTTCACCTTATCGACACCAAGCAGCCACAGCCCCATCATAGCGTCCTCCACCGACATCACCGTGAGCATATCCCTGCTCCTGTTCAAGTAATTTACAATATCCACCCCGAGAATATAGAATGCTCCCTGCAATCGTGCGAAAAATAAGGAAGAGCAAAAACACAACAAAGGTTGGAGGATTGAAGTCAGGCGAACAGTCAACCCGACAAAGTTCACGCGTACAGAACACACGTGTTTCGAGCACTGCTATATTCCACCTCAGGCGGTACAGTATTCGCCGAAGAGAAGCCTACATCCTCTATATGGAGCTGACCCGTTCCCTTGTTTTTCCCTTGTTTTGGTGCAGATTCGATCGCCTACAAGAACCACAGAAGTAAACCATCGGAACCCTGGAATCAATCAATACCGACAGCCCTCAGACCGCAATCAAGACTGCAGAGGCCTGCAAACCACAAATGTTCCATTCGACGATGGGTACAACGTTTCAGTGTCAATGAAGGGGCATACCATGCCTCGCGTCGCGATGAATCACCAACCCTACCTGGTGGTACATCGGATGGCAGTCGATGGTTCCCCCAGTTGCAGCCAAGAACTCTGGGTCGTACAGCTTGTGCCCCTTCGGGAAAACCGTACCACACCTTTGCATTATGGCCATGCAGTTCAGGCATACAGTAAACATGGGCAGCATGGCTTAGGAGGTGATACGAAGCGGGCACGGCTTGCATGCACACGACACCCGCAAGATAAATGACATTAATACGTCTCATTGTCGGTACCGAAGCACTCGTCCACCCTGTTCCCGTACCTCACGCGTATTCTTGGCTAGAGGGCTGGTCATCATCCACTACATTCTAGACCTAAACCTACGGACTGCTAATGCATCGCTCACGCGTTAAGCGCCCGCAGAGGGCTGGTCATCATCCACTACACTCTAGAGGTAAACGTACGGACTGCTAATGCATCGCTGAAGCGTTGAGCGCCCGCTAAACCGGCATTTTTCTCGTATGATATGCATAGTTCCCCACTGAAGGGCGGTCTAAACCTACAATGCATGCTATGCGCATAATTGATTGCTTGCTCTTCAGCCTACAGAACAATAGCGCCTTGCTGGCATGCACCCCCTCATCTCGAGCGCGGATTGACGCCGGCGTTAATATCAACATTTCTTGCATGTTGAATGCATACACGACACACACCGCTATACCCTACGCCCTAACATAAATCGAAACGACGGTCCACAAACGAGGCCAGCAAGCGAGGCAAGCGAGATGTGATTTTAAGAAAACTTGAAACAAGCAGGCTCGAACGAGACATTCACCGTCCAAAGACGATTGTGTCACAAGGTGTACGACACGTTCGTAGCCCTTGTTCGCTGGATGCAGATCTCACTTGTTCAACATCCCAGCGTAGACTCTCGGCTGCTGCTCCCCGGGCAAGTTTACCAGCTGCTTCGTCACGCGCGCGAGACACGGAAACGTGTCCCCGTCCGTCTTGGCCAAAAAACGAAACCTGGTCATCGGTGTCAGCGTAAGCAACAAAAACACTTTCTCGCTTAGTGGTGGCGGGGTTTATGGAGTTCTGGTGTTCTTGTTGGCGTGCTTTGTGCACGTGATGGCAGAACGGTTGTTTCACTCAACTCATCCTGAGCGTCAGTGGAGTGCATTCGTGCATGTCTGCTGCTTCGCTTGTTTTGGACGTGTGCGGGTGACAATAAATAGGGTTTACCCCCCGGTGGTCTCAATAGAAATTACATCGGGTGGCCTGTGTTGTAGAATACCCTCAAACAATTTGGTTTCGTGAGACGCCACCGCCGGGAGATCAAGGGGCGGAAGGAACCATAACAGCAGCTTCATAGTCTAAGCTTTAGTTAAGGGCTACCCTGACGCTACAAGTACACCACACGTGAGGGGGCCATTGCTGTTGTGGCATGTCATCTCTAAGGCACACTACCTCACGAAGCCTACACACATAGTATAACCGCGAAGTAATCTGCACGGACAAGCAGCAGGAAGGGCAATGCAATATCGTGGGAACCCTGACTGCTGTAGCCCTTGTACCGGCGGTGCGCTTGCTGACAAAATGGGAGCCGCAGGCTAATGTGGGGAATTGTACGTTTGTACTGCCATGTGTTTCTGTGGTTTTGGACTGCCGCAGCAGCAGCAGTAAGAAGGAGACCGTCGCGTGGGAATGCTCGTGGCAGAAAACATCTGATCGGAACATGCTCAAGTCTTGTCCATGGCATCGAGTTTCTCCAGTATGAGGACAACCTACTGCTGTTGTTCATAGAAGTAGACACACGTCACGGTACATGTTACAGCAGTACACCTTGACAGCGGCAGAGTACAGCAGCGAGCCAAATCAACTGATTCAACAAGTTCAAGTTCGCGTTCTGTTCAGGTTTCTGCACTTGCGGTGCACAACCAGCAGTCAGTTCTGTATAACATTGCGGTTCATCATATTGCGCGCTGTCTGAAAGCACATGCGGTGCAAAACTCACCGCATGCTGGGGACATTCAAACACCCAAAATCCTGGGTATGTAACCTGCTGGGATCCACGTACAGTAGTGGTCTACCGCTGCCTGTCAGCTGTGTCTCACCGGAGATGCTCTGCCAGTCCTGCCATGGCCTTGGTCTTATCGCTCAAGTGGGCGTATCCCTCTCGGACGTCCACGTGATAGAAGTCTCCCCGCAGCAACCCCGCCTCCGGCAGCTCGTGATCGTCGGGCAACCCCGCCCTGCCGACGACAAACACGACTCGAAACGTCAACGGCGGTGCCTCAGATCCACCATCAGGAACAACCTCCGAGCCGTATCTCGCGTACACCTTTCGCACTCTCGCGATCTCCTCCTGAGATTCCTTGGACTCTCCACCCATAGCCAGCACCGCCACAACTAGGTCGTAGTACGGTCGATGTCGCGGGTCTGGAGGCAAGGCGGCAGCGTCGCCGTTGGTTGTTGCATGTACCGTGAGCCCAACTCCGTCCCTCTCACTACACGGAGCACAGCTGCTGCCGACGCACGAGCGGGATCCTGCAACGAAGACTAGGAGAAACAAGGCAGCTGCTACAAGCACACCTCGTGCAGTCAGAAGTCTTGGCTGCTCGCGTTGTTGTTGTTGTTGCTGTTGCTGCTGCTGCTGGAGTGGCTGCTGCTGCTGTGTTCCGATATCTGGACTATTTCGGGTGGGGCCTGGAAAACTCCGATGTGTCGACAGCGCCCGTGTCCCCTCCTCCAAAGTGGGTGGCAGTGCAATGAAGCTTCTGCGGCGGGTAGGAGGAAGAGACATCACAAGCACAGGGCCCTACCTCCGCGGTAGTAGGGCAAGCCCCAACAGAGCGTTGCAGCAACAGCAGCACATCAGCAGCAGGGAACATCGCAAAGGGAGGGGCGCAGAGCTCCTCCACGAAAAACGCCGCCTGAACCTTTGTTTGTGTGTAACGGCGACGATTGCACCGGAGATCGGAGCCTTGGGTTTGGATCGCATCCTTGTCTTCACAGTTTTCAGCGCCCTCTGAGCTGGCAAGCAGCCGGTCCCGTTCGGTAGTGGGGGGGAGGGCTATACCTGGCTGATCTAAGGCATATCAAGTCTGCTGCAGTAGAGGAAGGCGGACCTAGGTTGCGGACGGACATTGGCCCCTCTACTTCTGTGGATATCTTTTTCGTGTTAGCGGGACATGGGTCCCGGCCCCGACCCACCGGCTGTGGCAGCTCGGGGCCAAGGCCTACCGCCGAGGTCTGAGCATAGAAGCAGCGGAGAAAGTTTGCAGACTGGATCCACTGCCTCGGTTGCGATGGCGAAGGCGAGGAAGGGTGTCGCGGGCATCACGAGGAGGAGACGACGCGGATTGCTGGCGATCCCTGTTCTTGCTACCGCTACTGCTGCCGTCCTTGCTCTCGGGGTTGATGCGGTGTCCGTACCTGAGGCCCCGGCGAGGGTAGACTTGGATGTGATGAGCGGAGACGAGGTGGCGGTGGCATTTTCCGCTCCGCTGAGCGATGGAGGGTCTGCGGTGCAGAGCTACGAGGTGTGTGGGCTGTTGTCGTGAGTCGGCTTGTTGTGTAAGCCAAGAGCATCTCTCAGGAACACCGCGCAAATGCAAGTAAAACACGTTTTGTATGCACGTGTACTGTAGAATACCGTGTGTGGTATTCCGTGAAGACTGTAGTGTTTCAACATGTGTGTTTCTTGTTGCGACACACTTGGAAATTATAACAGGGAAGGTCATTATCCTTCCTGACACTGTGCTACTGAACGTGCCGCGAGGAAACCGTGTAGCACATGTACTGTAGATGGGCCGTGAAAAACAGAGGCTTTGGCGGCGACATTCCCTCGAAATGCTTCGAAAACATAATGTGCACGTCCTGACTCGGAATCTTGTTTTCATCTGTATCACCCTTCCTTGCAGATTGAGTGGGACACCGACCCTGGAACACGAGAGGTCCAGTGGATAAAAACCTATGCCGACACCGGCCCAAACGAGATCCAGTCTATCACAACCACCGCCGACGATGTTGATGAGGTGCAACAGCTCATTATCTCTACAAACGAGACCCGAGAAGTTCAGGTGAGCAAGGGTGCCGCCTGCTGTTGGCCGTATTCATGTTGGCTGAAAGGAGCTATCCTCCGCCCGTCCGTTGGACAGGACCCTCCCACGGTGTGTGTCGTCATAATGGTATCGGCTGTTCATGCTGCTGAGTCTTTTCTCGGAATTGGCATGCTCGTGAAACATTTACAATCAGATAGTGCGACGATACTTTGACATCGAATACCTCCAGAAAGAACGACGAGTCTTTCGGTGTGAGCAGCCTGGTCGATGCGGGAACCGCTCCTCCCGAGTCTAAACAACGGGTCGTATTGGTAGTGGCCTGTAGCGAAGTGTACAAAACTTCCTTCAACTTTCACGCATACTGAACCGCTTTTCCAAGAAATGCTTCGCTTCAGATCGAATCGGTACAGAATATCGGACACACCTTCTCCAAGCCCCATTCTTATGTGCCTTGAGTGGCCCCTCTCCGGAAACATTTCGAAACGGAGGGCCACCGCGAAACGTTTCCGGAGACGGGCCACTAATGCCACAAGAGAGAATGGGGCTTGGAGGAGCTTTGTCGGCCGTTGTGCACAGGTTGGCTCTGCAGAAACAAGATTCGTCAGAAACAAGCCGACTACTGATCCCCGGCCAAAATTGTACTCCATATTATCTGCGGGAAACAACTCTACAGTGTTCCCTTGTATCCGACACATCTTTCTCTTCAGATCGAATCTGAAAAGAACGACCGACAAAGCTTCTCCAATCCTCAATCTCTTGTGGCTTGAGTGGCCCCCCTCCGACAGCATTTCGTAGTGGCGCTCCATTTCGCGCGCCCCACGACGAAGCGAAATTTATTGTGGTGATCGTGAAATGGCGCGTAAATACGAAACGTTTCCGGAGAGGGGCCACTTGAGCCACAATAGATTGGGGCTTGCAGGAGATTTGTCGGTCATTCTGTCCCGGTTCGATCTGAAGAAAAAGATTCGTCGGAAACAAGGTGACCAGTGATCCCCGGCCAAAGCTTGTACTCCATCAAATCAACGGGGCACAACTCTACAGTGTTCTCTCCCCCCCCCCCCCCCCCCCTGTCCACCCCTTTCCCCGACCCCCTTATCCTTAAACCCACCCTTGTTTTCG